TTGTGTTATACAGTCTAACTGATGACAATATATTGTGTTATACAGTCTAACTGATGACAATATATTGTGTTATACAGTCTAACTCAGGGCTGCCCAAACATTTTCCCAGAGGGGGCCAAAATGAAAATCTATCCATGGCTGCGGGCCAAATGCAGTAATATAATACATGAAATACAAATACGTTTTTAAAGTAAAGTCCTTTATTTTTAACCATTAAGCTGTGCAATGGCCCTCTTTTGTTTTAGTCTGTGCACTTGGAGAAAGTTTGCCATACGCTCAAATAGCAAAGGCTCATGGGACTTATCATAAATAGATAAAATATGAGTTTTTATGGCCTTATAATGTGTGCAAATGTTCATGTGGGGTTAAATCTGACCTAAATATTTCTTGTTGTCATTTCATGTTTCATGTTTAATCCTAATAAATCAAAGATATGTCAGCACCATGACTGAAAACTACCTTCACTACAGCCCTTTTATATAGTCATTTGACCAATGGAAACACTGTGTTTCTATAGGATAACAGGTTACAACCTTGTAACTTTGGCAACTGTTGGTGGGCCAAATCAAATGGCTTGGCGGGCCAAATTTGGCCCGCGGGCCCCACTTTGGGCTCCTCTGGTCTAAGCATTAAGTGTGACTGAAGATCCCAAAAAACCTGACCGACTCACTGCCGGGGTCGGACGATACTTTTATCAAAGTGCCTACTCAGAGGTACTATATTTTGTTCTTATTTTATTTACCATGTATACAGTATGTTCACATTAATTCTGTTTTTGTTTGTTAATGTGATATTAGTATTTAAATTTGAAACAATATTTTTCATTTAAAATGTGTTGGGTTGTGCATCATTGATGTAGAACCTATAAGTCATGAAACACTTCACTACAAGCTCCTCCTCAAAACCTAGACTTAGGTCGTGTTCACACCTACACTGTTTAGTCCAGAGGAGCCCAAAGTGGGGCCCGCGGGCCAAATTTGGCCCGCCAAGCCATTTGATTTGGCCCACCAACAGTTGCCAAAGTTACAAGGTTGTAACCTGTTATCCTATAGAAACACAGTATTTCCATTGGTCAAATGACTATATAAAAGGGCTGTAGTGAAGGTAGTTTTCAGTCATGGTGCTAATATGTCTTTGATTTATCAGGATTAAACATGAAACATGAAAGGACAACAAGAAATATTTAGATCAGATTTAACCCCACATGTAGATTTGCACACTTTATAAGGCCACAAAAACTCATATTTTATCAATTTATGATATGTCCCATAAGCCTTTGCTACTTGAGCGTATGGCAGACTTTCTCCAAGTGCACAGACTAAAACAAAAGAGGGCCATTGCATAGATTAATCATTTAAAATAAAGGACTTTACTTTAAAAAGTATTTGTATTTCATGTATTATATTACTGCATTTGGCCCGCAGCCATGGATAGATTTTCATTTTGGCCCCCTCAGGGAAAATGTTTGGGCACCCCTGGTTTAGTCTGATTTAATCGAACTCTGGTTCGTTTGCCTGGAAAGTCCGGTTCATTTGTGGAGGTGAGAACATGTAATCGAACTCTGATTCGGACCAAAAAAGCGAACTCTGGTCCGCCTGAAAACCTAGGTCTCGTTTCGATTGAAACGAACTCTGGCGCAGTTCGATTGCATGTGTGAACGCTAAGAGGACCAGAGACCGCTCCAAAAACAGGAAGCGGACGATACCGCATGACATTCTGAGTAAAAACAGTATTAGGGTGTATTCAGACCAGGAAAGTCCTTTGGTCCAATTGTTTGGTCCGGACCAAAAATGGACTTTTTTTTTTTCGTTTGGTGCGGTTTGCATTCACATTGTGCTTTTTTGCAAACGAACTATAAGTTGTAAACAAAGCCATGAGGCTGACGATCATTGCTCCCATTGGACAAAAAAATGACGGGGGCGGGACTGAGCCACAGACCCAGAAGAAAACAAGGAAGTCCTGCGTGCTGCGGTTCTGATGCGCACATTTATGCTGATAGTACAACTGCAATAGCATTTAAAATGTCAGAAGCAGCTAATTTATTGGTGGTTCTATGATGATATTCTAATTTTGGAGCGGCGTCAGTAAATGTGTCCCGCGACCCAAAGGAGACGAGGTGCGCTGCGTGTTCTGACCCACTACATGCTGCCAGCAGAGCTGCTAACAGGAGACGATGAAACAGGTATGTTTTCAGTTTATTTAGCTCAGCAATGGTGGCCTGTGAAGTCCAAAAAGGTGCATATTTTATGCAGTTAGTTCGGTTAGAGTCCGGTCTGTATTCACACCAGAAGAGAACTAAAGTGAACCGCACCAGAGTTCATTTGGAAACGAACCGAGACCACCTCAAAAAGCTGGTCTCGGTCCGTTTGTTTGATTCGCACCAGAGTTCACAGGAGTGTATTCACACCTGCAGAAAAGGTCCGGACCAACGCTGGAAACGAACTCTGGTTCGTTTAAAGCGGAGCAAATTATCAGGTCTGAATACGACCTTAAATTTACTTATATGGTGTAAATACCTGGCTAGACGACTGTATAAGGTGGACATCATGACTGTGGAGCTGGACGCGCTCCTGCTCGATAACACGGAGCTGCTTCAGCCGCCTTGTGTAAAAACAACATTCTCCATGGTTCCGCCTCATCTTCCTCTCACACTGAGCTCATTGTTGAAGACTATTTGTTTAGCACATTTGCCAAAAACAAAAAATAAACCCTATAACCAGTAAAATGTAACGTTACTATTGTTTGTTTACATATTAAGAAGAAGAAAGTTGCGCTCCATGTCTTCTGAGGTTTTTAAGTTGATTCCTTCAGTGGTTCTTGGTGCAGCGCCCCCACAGGTAAGGGCGGGAACAGGTTGTTTACAGGATTAAGTTTGGTTGAGAAAGTGCAGTGTGAATTCAAACCGCACCAACAGAAAATGTAAACAAAGCTTGCAGTTTTGGTCCCCAATCGAACCGAGTCTACCGGACTATCAGATGTGAACACGACCTCAGATAACCCCAACATTTGACCAGTATTGTGCAGTTTACACAGCTACACAGCTCTGCTTCACAAGCAGCTGCTTTACTCATGTCCTGCTTCTTTTTACAGTGTAATATGAAGGTTTAAGGCATTTCATAAAGGAGGGGGTGATTTATCTCTCCTTCAAAGACATACTTGGTTTTGCAGTAGGCCACCACACAAATGATGCCAACCACTAACAGCGCCACACAGATGCCTGTGATGGTCAGCACCCGCCTCTGGTAGAGCTCCTCGGCCTCTGCAAACAGAAACACACACAGAAGTGCACATGTTTGCATACACACACACACGTATCAGACACAACAAAGAACACACACTTACACACATCTATCATGAGCGTTACTCCATTTCCAGTTCCACAAACAGTTTTTCTGACTTGCTGCCATCATCTCCCCTGAACTGTCTGTAACACACTTCCTGCTCTATCATGTCACGTGTCTAAATGTGAACTGTGCTGCAGACACACACTGCTGCTACAACACTCGCAGTGTGTTTCTACTGTCTCAGCTGTAACATCCTGACACACTCTTCCTGCTGTCCTGACATAAACGTATTTACAGCAGCCATGGGGATGGGAAGCGACGGACGACACTGAAGAGAATCTAACTACATGCCTGTAAATGTGAAATCAACACAAAAAAAGTGAGTCAGCCAGGGAAAAGCAACAATGGCACTAATAAAAAACATAGTTTTGTAACACCACAGTGGCCTCGGAGCAAAAATAAACACGATTCACAAAATGTTTTTAGATCTACTTAATATCTTTTGATGTTTTTCTCATATTGTATGAACAGGTTGTGTGTGTTTTTTTTTGGAAGTACAACAGTCCTCTGTGTTTTAAAACTACTCATCAAAATTAAACATTACATCAGTGTTTCCCAAAGTTGGGGTCGGGACCCAAAGTGGGGTCCCGAAACATCAAGGTGGGGTCCTGAAAAKATTTTCTGAATTAATTACATTTTTGCCTTAGTTGTTACAAAGGAGTGAGGTTAGTATATTTAAAATGGATAAATGTAGTATAAAAATATTGTTACTATGCCCATGTTTAGTTGATCTGATACAAATGTTTAACATCCAAAATAGTTGGGGCCACAGGTCTCTGCTACTGTTATTTTGTGGGTCAAAAGCTGAAAAGTTTGGGAACCACTGTATTACATTATTACTGATTAGTAGGGCTGCCACGATTAACCGATTAATCGACGACTAATCGATTATTAAAATAATCTATGACTAATTTAATAATCGATTAATCGTTTTCTTTTTTTTGTTGTTGTTCTTTACTTTGTTTTTCTCTCCAAACTGCTTTGACACCTTCCACTGCCACATCTGCCTTTCTGTCCTTGACACACATGCACAGTAGTGGTAACTGGGGTAGGCCGTGGACGTCACAAGACATTATACAGACAGGCTCTGGTATCATGGCTACCTGACAACAGAGCTCAAAGTGTGGGATCATTTTAAGAAAATGAAAGAGAAACCTGTGTAATATCTGCAGAGCAGAACTTACCTTCCACAGCAATTATTTTTAGTTAGCATATTGCTAAAATCTAACGATGGTTATATATTAGCAGCTGCATTCTGACGTGATAAGCTCTATGTTTTATATTCAATTAACGTATGATCCGATTAGTCGACTAATCAAATAAATAATCGGTGATTAATCGATTATTAAAATAATCGATTGTGGCAGCCCTACTGATTAGCTTTAACAGACTATGACTACAAAGTGCCCAACAATAATGACACAATAATGCTTAAATTAACCTCTCAAACATTTTTTCCATTCAGATTGAAAACAATTGCTGATACAAACAAACATCAGATTTTTGCCTTTAATATAGTTTCAAACAGAGTTCCAAGCTATGAGCAGTAGTTACTGATTTAGATTTTACCTTCAGTGATTCTCAAAACAACCTGCTTGGTACATCTTCTAAAAGAAGTTTTAAAATGCTGTTTCATACTGAAAAATCCTTTTAATTTGTTCACCAGGTGTCTAAAATCTGTACTGATAACATTAATTTTTGGTATAAAAAAATAACAAGGCAAGAATCTAAACCAACAACTGTTTTTGGAGTAAATTTTAATAAATTCATTCTAATCACAATTTCAACTTTGTCATATACATGTAAATTTTGCTTTTCATTTTAATCAGGTCCATTTGGTAAACTTTGGATATAATACGGACATCTAATAATAATGTGTTAGTATTATATAGTTGTTCTGGATTAGAAATATTGAATGATTTTGAAGTGAAGCTGATAACCGAGTAGAGAATTTCTAGAGCTTGACCAATTTTTACACCATGTTGGCCGATGTTGTTTATCAAAAAGTGAACTTTATCCCACATTCTGCTCTCCTACATGTGTCAAGTTAAATAAGACGTTTAAAGGGATCCCCGATTAGTTGTAACATTAGACTTTATTTAATAAACATATATTTTAACTGTAAAATAAAGACTGTAAAAACACTGTAGGCTGTTTGGTTTTTATAATTTTTAAACTAAAAGATTAAAAATATATTACACGGACGGGGCCATGTTATTTCCACGCTAAGCATTCTGGGTAAATGATGACGTGGATAGGTCCTCGGTGCGAGGCTGCTAGCGAGCTATATCCACCCTGAAGGTTAATCTTGGACAATATCTAACGATTGGCTCTTTTAAATGAAACCAGAGCGTTGACAATATGGATGGAGGACAACAGAGCTGCTTCATGGAAGAACCTCAGCTTAGCCTGTTAGCCTTTGCACTAGCGCTGACACTATATTGCCTTATATGCTGTATATTAGCTTGGCGCTAGTGCGATAAACAAGCTAAACTGAGGTCATCCATCCATATTTTCAGTTGCAGGTTGAGTCATTTCTGCTTTAGCCTCTCTGTCGTGGATGGAGGACCTCAGTAACAAGAGGATAAATGTGTAGCGC